ACACACACACACACACACACACACACCAAAAAACAAAAACAAAACAAAAAGCTGAGTTTGGAAAGAGCCCAGACAGACCTGATATTGATGAGACTCCCTACTACATGCCAAGCACGTGCAGAAGCATCTCACTGACCCCTCACAACAGCCTGTCGCTCTCCCTGCTCTGCAGGTGAGGACAGTGAAGTTAACTGTCTTCCCCAGAGTCATCAAGCAAATAAGAATCCCAGGTCTGTCGGCCATACCAGCCATTGGTCTTCAAGGAGGGAAAGGGGCAGAGAGAAGGAGGTGTGGACAGTGCGGGGCCCTCGGAGCCAGGGGAGCCAACCCAAGGCAGGACTCCAGGCTGCCGCTGCTTTGCTGGAGCACCTCGCGAGACCACCGTTGTGGGCAGGCAGCGATGGCCACCAGTTCACAGAGAGGCCTGCCCCTTTAAGAGTTCCTGGGGGGACAGCTGTTCTGTCTGTTGTGGAGGCTCACATGGGTGGGGGGGTATGTTGGAGGTCTATGGTGAGGGGGGGCATCAAGGCACTCTGAGCTGCCCAAGAAAGCCTGGGGCCCCCAGCGACAGGTTCGCACCAGGCTTCGTATGTAGTTAGCGCTCCAAATCTTTCAGTGCAGAAGTGCTTCCAGAGAAGGCAGCTGGAGGGCCCGGTGAGTCTGGTTATGAGCTGTAGGGGCGGAGGGCGTCAGGCGCCATCACCTGGCTCTCTAGCGACCAGGCTAAACAACACAGGCACGTGTTTCCTGGACACCCCCGCCATCATGTCCTTATACCTTAGGGCTCAGGAGCTTGCCCGTTTCACTGGAGCCCTGGGCAAAAGCACCCCTTAGCGAGTCATATCCCCCCTGGTACCACTGCGCCATCTGCTCCTGGAGCAGGTCAGGGATCCCGGGGTCTCGACTGACCTCTCCTTTCACCATGCCCGCTCTGCCGGGCGTTTGTAGTTTGCAGCTGCCTGACAAAAGGTTCTAGTTGTGGATGGCTGCAGGGGTGGGGTGGGACCAGGGGCTGGCTCTCCGCAGCCCCACCCTTCCCTTCCTGTGGGCTCCCAGTCGCCCTGCCCCTCCAGTCTGGTTCAGTCCCCCAGGCCGCCACTCCCTTCGCCCTGCTCGGCTGCTTGGACCCCCTGAGGGTCAGCGCCATCGCCAGACCTCCTTGTCTTCCTTGAAGCAGCGCCCTTGTGGCCCATCTTTCCACCTCCATCCCTTTGGACCCCTGCTTCCATCTTGAGGCCTCCCAGCACTCATGAGCCCTTCTGTCTCCGGAGCAAATCCTCACACCATGAATCGGTCGCTGGGCCCAGGATGCCGAGGTGCATGAGGTGCCCTCACCTTCCAGGGGCTCAGGCCTGCTGGTGGAGAAGGTGTCTCCATACACCTTCTTGTCAAGTGCTCATTGAGTGCCAGGCGCTATGTTGGGCCCTGAGGATGGGGCAGTGAAAGAACCGCCATGTCCCTGCTGTCAAAGAGCTTAGAAAGATGTCACCCAGATACACACATGGTACATCCAGGGGTCAGAAGTGTGATAGGACAAAATTGAGCAGGGTCAGGACAGGTGTGACAGCCGGGGGTGGGGGCTCTCTGACAAGATCAGGGGCAGCCGTGACTTGAGGGGGGGCGGGGAAGGTGGACCCCCCAAGGACAGAGCATTCCAGCAAAGGCCCTGAAGGGAGCGTACTTGAGAATGAGCAAGGAGGAGGCAGGCTGGAGCACAGTGGCCGGGCAGGCTGGTGAGGCCGCCGGGAGCACGTAGGACATGCCAATGCCTGGCTCCAGCTCAGATCGGTTCGCTCAGACCTGGCGGTGGGGACAGGCATCAGTAGTTTTTCAAAAGCTCCTTAGATGACCCTAATGGAGCATGTGCAAGTGAGCAGGTTTGTCAGGACTTGAACCCAGGCCCGCCCGCCTGAGCAGCACCACCGGCCTCCCGGGGAGATGTGGGCGGCCAGCCGCCAGCACAGAGGATGCACAGCTGGGGTCCTGAGGACCGGGAACAGCACCCTCGCCCTCCGGTCACCTACAAGCAAAGGTCACCATAGGCACCAGAGGGTTAGCCAACAGTCACTGCGCCCCCACCCCACCACACGCCCCCTGCCACCAGCCAGCTCCTCCTCTGGACCCTCTGGACCTCCCACCATCCACCAATGGGAAGGGCAGCATAGGACATGGAGGCCGGAGGCCGCTGTGCCTGGCGGCCTTTCTGAAGGTCGGTGCTCAGCTCCGGTGAGGGTGTGCCACCGCCCGAGACAGGACAGGACGGGGCAGAGGGTACGCTGCCTGCCGGCGCCTCCCCCGCCCATCAGCCTCTTCTCCTCTCCCTCCTTCCCTCCTTCTTCCTGGCTCTCCCTCCCTTTTCCCCTCTGCCACGCCCTCTTTCTGCCCCTCCCCCTTCCTCTTTGGGGGGGAACACTTAACCCTGGGGAGCCATCAGCTGACCTGGCCTTCTCCCTGAGGAAGAAGATCTTGCGGCCTCCCCAAGCCCGAATCCCTGAAAAGCTCTCCTGAGGCCAAGCTTCCCTTTTTTTCACCCTCATCCCTTTTCTAGTGACGTCGACACAAGCAGGGGGCATGGGGCGCTGTGGCAGTGGCTGTGCGGCCATGGGGGCTGCAGCCAGAGCGTGGCAGGCGCGTGGCTTTGTCCTCCTGGATGCAGGCAGCACTCCTCCCTGCTTGGAGCTTCTGCCCTGTTCCTATTTCCTGACCCCTCCCGCCTCCCCTCTGCCTCCTCCTTCCCCTCTCCCTCCTCCCTCCCTGCCTCCTTCCCTCATTCATTATTCATCTGAGGGCTCCTGACAATGTGCCAGGCTCTGTTTCCAGTACCACCCGGATACAAACTTGACCCTGACTTAGACCCTACTTGGGGGAGCTCAGAGTCAGAGTCAGTTAGGATGTGGTCTTGGCTTCCTCTCATGAGATCTCAGTTACTTGAGGGAAGGAGAGTTGTCTTTTAAAATTTACCAAGTTCTTTTCTTTTCTTTTTTCCTTTTCTTTTCTTTTCTTTTTTCCTTTTCTTTTCTTTTGTTTCTTTTCTTTTGTTTCTTTTCTTTTGTTTCTTTTCTTTTGTTTCTTTCTTTTCTTTTTGTTTTCTTTTCTTTCTTTTCTTTTCTTTTTGTTCTTTTCTTTCTTTTCTTTTCCTTTCTTTTCTTTTTGTTCTTTTCTTCTTTAACATTTCAAACACAACAAAACCTTTTTATGCCATCCAGGTTTTCCCTGGAGGAGGGGTCAGCTGGGTCCTGGGTTCCTGAGACGGAGTCTTACACATCCAGGGCTCCAAAATACACAGCCCTGGATTCAAATCCCATCTCTGCTGCTTGCGAGCTGGGCCACCTTGGGCATGTTACACCCCTCTGTGCCTCAGTTTCCTTCTCTGCGGCATCACCCTTTTTCACAGGATTGTGAGGGTGCAAGAGAACCCTGGGGCTGGCACCCAGTGCTCGGTAAACGGTGGCATGGGTACGCTGCGCATGCCCACCCTGGTCCCCAGCAGCAGGGATTCCAGCCCCCTCCTTCCCCCCGGGATCCCAATCCTGGCATTAGAATTGGCCGCTTTTTCGTTTCTTGCTTTCTTCACCCTTGATAAGATCTGTTATTTTCAACAATGTATTAGGCACCTTCCATCTCAAGGATTTTGCAAGCCTTGAAGATGACCTCAGCCCAGAGTATTGTCTCCACAGAGCTGGGGAAGGAAGCATGGAAAAGTTTACAATAAAAGCATTGGGTCAAGGTGTCACTCAAAGTGGGTCAGCTGCCTTCTGAGGTAGCCAGTGCTCTGTCCCTAGAAGCACTGTGGCAGGGGCTGGGGGAGCACCTGTTGGGAGCTCTGGGGGCGTGCACTGCCTCTCCTAAGTCCTACCGGCTTGCAGAGGAAGGGGCCATCTGGGTCGGCCAGATCCGTACCTGGTCTGACACTACTCTTTGGGTCTCCACTTTGCCAAGCGGGGGAGCAAGGTCTGGCCCACAGGTGAGAAGCATTGCTCAGAGTGGCCGAGAAAAATGTAGTAAACCGTGGCTGTGGGTTGCAAACCTCCTTCCCCCTGGACTCCAGGAGGCTTGGGCCACCCTCCCAATCAGGTCACTCGCTTTAAGACCAGACTACCTTGGCTTTTCAAGAGCTGGGACTGACTCTGGGGTGTGGGAATGAACAAACCTGGGGTTCCAGAAGCTAGAGCTGTTGAGGGTGGGAAGGCTGCCTTGGGGAAGAGGGGATGGAGCCAGGGGTTAGAGAGGTGATCCTCAACCACCTGTGACTGTATGCCTCTGGCCAAGAGTTCCACCTGGTAATGGAAAGGACGGCCCAGCTTCACTATACAAGGTAGCGGGGAAGGTCAGGATTCACAAGCAGGGCAGAGGTCGAGAGCAGAGCTCTCTCTAGTGTCTGGCTGCCTCGACTTGAATCCTGTTCCACCACTTCCTGGTTGTGGGACCACATAACATGGCTTCTCCGTGCCTCAGTTTCCCCATCTGTAAAATAGGGTGAGTGTAGGATTAATGTGGAGATTAAACAAGTTAATACATAGGGGTGCCTGGGTGGCTCAGTTGGTTAAGCATCCGACTTCGGCCTAGGTCATTATCTCGCCGTTCCCAAGTTCGAGCCCCACGTCGGGCTCTGTGCAGACACCTCGGAGCCTGAACCTGCTTCAGATTCTGTGTCTCCCTCTCTCTCTCTCTCTGCCCCTCCTCCACTTGTGCTCTCTCTCTCTCTCTCTCTCTCGGGAATGAATAAACATCAAAAAAAATTTTAACGAGTTCATACACGGAAAGCACTCAGAATTTATTGGCCACATAGAAAGCACCACATTAAGTGTTAGCGTTGTTACCTGTCTCCCAGGATAAAAGCAGACATCACTCACCCTCTGTTTTCCCAGTGAGTGCCATGAGGGAGCACTAGAGGGAGGAAGTACTGTGGCGGGGGTTGGGGGGGGGGAGTCCAGGGATGAATAAAACCCCTTCTGTCCTAGGGGAGCCACTCTTCCTCCCGAACTGCCATCAGAGCTGGAGAATTCCGACGTCCCTTATCCTAACACATCTATGTTCCAGGCAGAGTGCTGTGAATTTAACAAATTGACTAAATTTAAAAAAATGTCCTTTGTTTACTTCAACAGACATTTATTAAACATCTCCTTGGCCCAAGCAACCCTGTGAAACACTAAAGATTTAGAAATAAGTAAACAGTGCTCTCTCCTCAAGGAACTCACGTCTGGTCAGGGAGAGATAAGCCGATTGCAAGAATAATAATAATGGCTTCGAAGTGGGCTTCGTTTATCTGCTCCTCACAGATGCCCGGGTGATAATCCCAGAGGGTGGGAGCGGCCTGCCTGCCGTGAGCCTCCCTCCCCTCCCCTTCCTCAGCCCCCGCAGTACCTGTGAGTGTTACAAGCCTCATAAAGTGAGTTGCACCTTTACACTCTAGGTTCGGGTCAGGGTCGTGAAGAAACATGAATTAATATAAAAATGAAACGTCTGAGGGGGCGCCTGGGTGGCGCAGTCGGTTAAGCGTCCGACTTCAGCCAGGTCATGATCTCGAGGTCCGTGAGTTCGATCCCCGCGTCGGGCTCTGGGCTGATGGCTCGGAGCCTGGAGCCTGTTTCCGATTCTGTGTCTCTCTCTCTCTCTGCCCCTCCCCCGTTCATGCTCTGTCTCTCTCTGTCCCAAAAATAAATAAATGTTGAGGGAAAAAAAAAAAAAAATGAAACGTCTGATCCATCAGGAATCTTCCCACTGATGGTCCTACCGGCATCTTCGCAAGGTTCCCAAGCCCTATGTTCCCCAGCCTCTGAGCCTCTTTCTCCACCTGTGTCTGACCATCCACTCTGTAGTGCGACCATCTACACTCGTGCCGCTGGGCCAAGGACCCACCCTTCCCGGAAGGGGCTTCCTTTCTCAAGCCTCTGCACCTCCAGAGGCCACCTGTCCGTGTTCCCCCTGCCTGGACTTCTTCCACCTCCCTCAGCAGCTCCGGCTCAGACTCACTGGGCCTTGGACAGGTGCTTCCCCTTGCTGGGAGTCAGCGCCCCTGTCCCTAGAGTGAAGGGGGGCCCCAGATGCCCTAGAGTGTCCCCTCTGCTCCAGATTTTACACCAACCTGTTTCCACTTCAGTGTTTTGTATGAATCATTTCCCTCCCTCCTCCTTTCAAGCACGTCTCAAACTCCCCTCCTCCAGGAAGTCTTCCGTGATCCACCCCATGAATATTTTCTGTGTGCTCAGTTCTGCTGGCACCAAAGTGCTGACACTAGGGCTTCAGGGGGTCTCAGCCTCTCATAACCCCCATCACCCAAACGTCACCCAAATACACACAACCTGAGTAAAACCAGAGCTTGATAGGGTAATGTGACCTCGAGGTAAGTCATCCAACACCCTCCACCTCCAACCAGTCGTACCCCCAAGCCTCACTATCTAGAAATTCTAACAGCCTGCGTTCTGTACTCGGGTTTCAGTGTCTTCCTAGGGTTCAGATTGTAAACTGTCTGGGCGGTCTTCACTGCCACCCCAACCCTAACTGCTTTGTTAGGCGAACAACACCAGTTGGTGAATTTGTTTGCAATGACTGAGGCACTCTCATGCACATTAGCCCATTTTGCTCTGAAAAACATCCTGTGGGGTAGACAGGGGCAGGCACGATTACCCCATTTCACGGATGTGAAAACTGAGGCCCTGGGAGGTTTAACACCTTGCACATGGTTAGTTAAGTGACAAAGCAGTCTCCCATCAGGAACACCTATTTGCCTCACTGAACTAGTTTTTTGCCAGCTCCGATTTTAATCCGTTCCAGTATGGAGCTGTTGAGCCCTTGGCCCCTTAGAGCTGGCAGGGGAGCCAGAATAAGCAGATTTGACTTCTAATCTGACTCGCCCAGCTGGTTCGGAAGACAGCCACTCTTCACCTTGCCTCTTCCACAGCTGCTCCGGGCCCCTCTCTGCACCCCTCCTTCTCCCCCCACTCTTTCCCACTAGCTCTGGGAGCCTTGGGATGGGCGTGGGGTGGGCTCCCAGGAGGATGTGAGCCTAAGGACAGGCGGGATGTTTTTCCGACTCCACATTGTTCTGCCCGTGCCCATTGTGTGGGCTGAGAGCTGGACGTCACCGAGTCGCCTGGCAGGCTTTCAGCAGAGCTGGGGAACATTTCCGGAGGGAACTGACCCGTTATGAATGATGGAAGCTTCTCGCAAGTGTTGGCATTTCTTTGGATGGGCCAGACTCGGGGAGCCAAGGCAAAGAAGACTCC